GGTAGCACAGCGACACAGCAACACGGCAGCACAGCAGCTGCGCCGGCCCAGGAGCAGTAGGAGCCCCACAGGAGCAGAAGATCGGCTCCTCGGGCGGCTGGGGCGGCACGGGCGGCTCGGGCGGCTCGGGCGGCGCGGGCGTCTCGCGGGCGGCTCGGGCGGCTCGGGCGGCGCGGGCGTCTCGCGGGCGGCTCGGGCGGCTCGGGCGGCGCGGGCGTCACGCGGGCGGCTCGGGCGGCGCGGGCGTCTCGCGGGCGGCTCGGGCGGCCCGGGCGGCGCGGGCGTCTCGCGGGCGACTCACGGGTGGCCGCACGGGCGGCTGGGACGGCTCGCGGGCGGCTGCACGGGCGGCTGGGCACGGGCGGCTGCACTGGCGACGCGGCGGCGAGGCCGCGTAGCAGAGGGCGGCAGGGCCGCGTGAGCAAGGCGGCGGGGCCGCTTAGCAGAGGGCGGCGGGGCCGCTTAGCAGAGGGCGGCGGGGCCGCGATCGAAGGGCGGCGGGGCCGCTTAGCAGAGGGCGGCGGGGCCGCGATCGAAGGGCGGCGGGGCCGCTTAGCAGAGGGCGGCGGGGCCGCGTTCGAAGGGCGGCGGGGCCGCTTAGCAGAGGGCGGCGGGGCCGCTAAGGAAGGGCGGCGGAGCCGCGATCGAGGGGCGGCAGGGCCGCGATCGAAGGGCGGCGGGGCCGCTAAGGAAGCGCGGCGGAGCCGCGATCGAAGGGCGGCAGGGCCGCTAAGGGAAGGGCGGCGCGACGGGCCGCTGGGGGGAACACAACGGGTCGCTAAAAAAAAGGAAAACGCGCCTCGGGGCGCGCTTCGGTGGGCCCTAGAAGCAGTCCCTAGGAGGGAACCTGCTCTGATTCCATGTGAAATAAAGAACGAGAATGAATTGACTATGAACGAAGTGAGTACAAATAGGAAACCCTAATTGGGTTGTACCCCCTATGGGATACCCCACTATAGCCTACACAAATAAGTAAGCTATAATGTTCTGACAGTGCGTGCGCTGATGAAGCAGTCGAAATTGCCGCCGATCTACTGGACCTACGCGATGCACCACGCAGTGCGGGTGCACAACCTACTCTCGACCACCGCCATCACCGGCAATCTGTCCCCGCACGTCAAATGGACCGGGACCAAAGGGGATACCTCCATGCTGCGCGTATGGGGGTGCATGGTTCAATACCGCCCGCCGACCTCAACCATCGGCAAATTCGCCAGCCGCGCTCGCTGGGGGATCCATCTCGGCATCAGTCATGAGTACAAGGCGTGGATCGTGCTGGACCTCCTCAGTCAGAAAATCGCTCACGCTCGCAACGTCATCTTCTACGAGCGCCTCTTCCTCGACCAGTTCCGCCGCGACGAAGAAACGAACGCGAACCGCGTCTACGCGAACGATGGGCACACCTACGCAACGCCCGAAGACAAAGCCGCTGCAGCAATCTTGGAGCAGGACACGAGGGGCGAGTTCGTGTGGGAAGAACGACGCAGCGGCGACGATGACGACGATTCATCGGGAGGAGGAATGGGCGCAGCAGGCGGAAGCGGAACAGGCGGAAGCGGCAGAGGCACGGCACCACCAGCGCCTCCTGAACCAGAAAGCGATGACGACGACGTACAGGACGTCATCCCGCAACGTCGCCACGACAGCACTATCTCAGGACTGCAGCTGCTCGGGCTCCACACCGCAACTTCGAAGGCGCCACGTGTCATCGAGCCCCGAAATCCACGCGAAGCTCTTTCTGGACCACACAGCAAGGAGTGGCGCGAAGCAATGGATGCGGAAATCCCGGCACTCGAGTCGCGCGACACCTGGGTGCTCGTTGACCGTGCAGCAGTAAAGGGGAGAAGGATTCTCTCCGACAAAAGGGTCTTCCGAGTAAAGACAGGAGCCGACGGAAGGATTGAGCGATTCAAGGCACGCTGGGTGGTACGCGGCTACGATCAAAGACACGGGATCGATTTTGACCAGACATTTGCACCGATCAGCCGTCACACGTCCGTCAGAATTCTCCTCGCCATCGCAGCCGCACGACACCTACCACTTCGGCAGATCGATGTGAAGAATGCGTTCCTGTACGCATTAGTGGACGCCGTGATCTACGTGGACTAGCCACACACTTACGGCGGCGGAGACCCACGTGTCTGTCAGCTACGCAAGTCCCTCTATGGGATCAAACAGGCACCGAGACTCTAGCAGCAGTATCTGCTCAACATACTGCTTGAAATCGGGTTCAAGCAGCTGCCTCACGATCCTGGAATGTATCGCCGCGATTTCCGCGGCGAATACATCCTCCTCACGGTCTACGTCGACGACCTTCTCTACACACGCTCAAGCAACGAACTACTCGAGCAGTTTGAGAGAAGCCTCGCAGGGTGCGCTGACATTTCCTGCAATCATGACGTGAAGCAGTTTCTCGGACTCAACATCACCTACTCGCCGGAAGCCATTCATCTCTCAGTAGCGAAGTATGCGGAGGAGCTTAGCAAGCGCTTCAACATTGCGCCTGCACCACTCTCCACCCCTTACCGCACTCCAGAACCCAACCACAAGCCTGACAGCAAAGTCCTGTCCCCTGCTGGGCTTCACACTTACCAGCAGCTGTTGGGATGCCTGCTTTTCGTATCTGTTACCTGCAGGCCCGACCTCTACTACATTGCGAGCCAGTTGGCTCAGTACTCACGCAAACCAACGGCTGAGAATCTCTCAGATCTTCAACGAGCCCTTCAATTCTTCATCTCCACGCCCAATGTCGGGCTCAGTTATTCCACCATCCCAACCACATCCTTCAGTCTCGTCGGCTACGTGGATGCCGATCACGCCGCTGACCCTGACAATCGACGGTCTAGGACACGGTTCCTCTTCCGCCTCGAGCCCAGTGGCCCCATCTCCTAGAACTCTCAGAAGCAGGAGTTGGTTGCCCTGTCATCGGCGGAAGCTGAATTTATCGCAGCAACAGCAGCTATTCGCGAAGGTCTCTACCTTCAGGAACTGCTGCAGGAAGCGAAAATTCCGGCCTCAACGAACTTTCGCCTGCACTGCGACAACCAGAGCGCGATCCGCATCGCGAACAAACCTGGTTTCGTCGACCGCACCAAGCACATTGCGCTGCGGTACTTCTTCATGAAGGATGAGGTGGACAAAGGCAAGGTCAACTTGACCTACTGCCCGACCGGTGACATGGCAGCAGACTTCCTCACGAAGCGACTGCCACGCCAGCAGTATCAGCACTGCTCCGAACTCAGCGGCGTGGTCAAGCAGGTCAAGTCGAGCTGCGGCCAGGAGTGAAGCGGGGTGTTACGAATAGTAATACTTGAATGTTACTGTGCACTCCTCACCGCAGTAAAGAGAAGCACGCAGTATCGCGAATGAACGCGAAGCGTGAGACGGTTGGAAACGACTCGAAGCGTCAGACAGTTGGGACGCATCTGAACCGTCGGAGCAGACAACATCAGGCAGCTGCAGGCAGGATGGTTTCTGCGGGAACAGTTTCGTAACTGTTCGTACAGTTGGGAATGTATTTGAATAAGGAAATGAACCCCTTAGAGTACATGGCTAGCTGGGTCGATTCATATTCCCCTGTACTCTTATTTATATCGTTGTATCTGCATGTCTTAACCATCTCAAGCATGTACATTCACTATGCTATTGAGGTCAAGGGCCCACCAACATCACTTCTCTGCGTGCGAACCTTCCTGAGTATATCCTAGGCCACGATCAACTTATGATCTCAGCACATTGCACGTGCGGCATGCCTGTTGCTGTCAGTGAACTCTCCATGGTTGCACCTGCGGCCCGCCTGCTGCTGTCTGCAGCTGCCAGTGAACTCTTGAAGGTCATCACTGTTGGAAATAAGAAGTCGATAGAGCGCAGCGGAAGCTCTAGGAATTAACGACGTCCCTACGGCGGGGTTATTGGTCACTCAGAGGTAGCTTTCCTGGCTTGTAACGTGGTGCCAAAGCAGCGGCCGAGGGTAGGCCGGACACAAGCTTGAGAATTGTGTAATATGAGCAAGGCATTATATTCTGTTATATAGCAAACGCATAGGGCAAACAGTTACCAAGGGCAGGATACCGCGCCCCACAGGTCAGTTTCGCATATTGTAGATGATGACTCCTGTTGTCGATTCGATTCTTGAGCTGCCACGCGGGTCGCAACCGCTGTGCTCGGTTGCGGCCCGTTGACTCGCCACCAGGTTCAAATCCCTCGCTATGGCGAGCCCCTGTAAGCAGACTTCAAACAGTGCATTTATAATAAAAGCATACAGACATATTCTCAACAATCACAAGCGCACACAGGATGCTTCACCTATGCTTCACGCATACAAATTCAGTTCAGTGTCGACAAAGCTGCAGACCAGATTGGAGTGGGATGTGGCTTTGGCCCCATTCAAGAGTCACTATTAGGTATGAATACGAGTGTATCATGTATTACACTATGAATAGGGAGTGCGGTACAAAGGCAAGCATTTCTCACCTACCAATAGCACCGCAAGCACATCAAGTCCTAGAACCACCCTGGCTACTTCCGCCTGCTATCCACACATATCAGTATTAAGACGATGCTGCCCCTGCACTCAAGTCAGTCAGACTGGAGCTCAAAGCTACCCTGAATCCCACCCACCCACTCATCCATCCAGGTGCATCGGCAGGACAGTTTTCACCTCCGCCTGCCCGGAATGTCGAGTTGATTCAGCAGTGCGCCGCCCATACTGCCACAACGTATCTACTTTGCTGCCAGTTGGTCTGAGAAGGGCCAAAGTAGATAGGTTGTGGCATTTCCGTCGACCCGAAAGTGTTAAAGATGCATCACTACTAAGGTGCATCACTTATAAGGTGCATCACCCCACCTGGCGAGAGACAGGGACACTAGCCTACGCGCGCCAGGGGAAGCAGACGGTGGGCTTGAGGGAGTCCTTGTCACCCACCTTCAGGCTCTGGGGCAGGATGACCGTATCCACCCCGTGCACCTGCATCACGTCCCCCGGAGAGCCTTCACTCCTCCTACGCGCGCCAGGGGAAGCACACGGTGGGCTTGAGGGAGTCCTTATCGCCCGCCTTCAGGCTCTGGGGCAGAATTACCGTGTCCACCCCGTGCACCTGCATCACTCGCAGCGAGATGACGTCAGGAGCCACTACGGAAGCTTCCTCCGGGCCGTACAGGGCCTGCAGCTGGACCGGGTCGGCGCCGGCAGCTGAGACCTTCACCAGGCGAGCCTTGCACCCGTCGGATGCCGCCTTGAACTGCACAGGGTGTGAGGAGGAAAAAACACAAAGTTGCGAGGGATTGGGTGCGGTGGAAGGACATCAATACCATCATGACATTGGGCGTGTTCAGAGCGGAAAGAACGGGTCGAGTTGTTTCCGAGCATGGGTGCGGTGGAAGTATATCACTGCCTCATGATGCCTGCGAATGGAAGAAAAATGTAAAACGCGCCGCAATTGGGCCGCTTGAGCCCAGCCCGCCCACCATATAGTGGAACTACGATGCATCACCTGCTTATCCTGCGGCGGCGCCGTGAGCGCAGCGGCGTTCTTTTCTTTCTGCACCACGTACAGCAGCAGCACCTCGCGCAGCATCCAAAGTCGCGTTTTTCGCGTCGTCCGGGAGCGCCACGCGCAGCACCACTTCAAACACCACATGACCGATTCCAACACCACAACACCGCTTCAAATTACCGTTCCTCACCTGCTTGTCCTGAGGGAGGGCCTTGAACGCGGCGGCAGGCATTTTCTTCTGCACCACGTGCAGCAGCAGCACCTCGCGCAGAACCTTGGCATTCGAAGTCGCGTTCTTCGCGTGGTCCGGGAGCGCCGCGAACGCGTCGTCGTTCGGCGCGAAGAACGTCGCCTCGTAGCAGTTGATTAGGTCCTTCAGGTCCTTGTTAAGACCTGAACGGAGTGCAATTAGGAAGGGAAACATACAGAAGAGCGAGATGAGTAGGAGAAGGTTATGGCAGTGAGGAACGAACGCGTTCGTCGCTGGGCGCGAAGAACGTCGCCTCGCAGCAGTTGATGAAGTCCTTGAGGTCCTTGGAAAGACATGCAAGGTTTGAAATACAGGGAGAGCATGGGGAAGTGAGAGGCAGAGGCGTCGTCGTCGTTGGGCGCGAAGAACGTCGCCTCGTAGCAGTTAGTGAGGCCCTTAAGATCCTTGGATAGACCTGGAAGGTCGTGTGACAGGGTGTGACAGGGAGAGGGTGGCAGGGGAGAGGGTGAGACACTGCACAATCTGCGGTACGGCTGGTTTGAGATCGGCGAAACGCGAGAGGCGCGAAAGTGCGGGACGAGATGTTAAGCCGCTGAATCGAATCTACAACCGCCACAATAAATCTGCAGCCGC